TTAATTCTAAAATTAACTTGTTGCCAACAAAACGACCCAAGTTACAAGTCAAAAGCTCAATGAATTAATGGGGTCCTGTGAATGGAGCAGACAACAAATAGGAAGTTGCAATAATAAATACTTTTTATGCTAGTAACATTTTTTTAAAATTTGTCTAAAAAAATGTCGAAATAATCAAACTTTAAAGTTCTCTTTTTATCCCTAATGAAATACTCCATTTGTTCACTTTTACTTGTCACTTATTCTTAAAATAGATTTTCATTTTTACCTGTCACTTTTAATATATTAAAAAAAGATAATAATTCTTTTTCATGTGTTACTCTCGATATTAAATACTTATTTTCCAAATCATTTTTCAAGGGGTCATATAATAGGGACAGTTTGATAAAATATCTATATCAATATTTATTTTCTTAATGAGTATGTCAAGTCAAAATATGACAAATAAAATTGAACCAAATAAGTAATTTACAGCCAGACAAATATTTTACACTACAAGCTATAAAATTTACATTAAATGAGATGGAGAGGAATAGTTAATGAATTTAATGGTAGCAATAGATTCTCCAGCAAATAGTGTTGTCCTTTTCTGTACACATTCATAGTTAGTGTGAGGTCTACAAAAATTTAACAAGTCCAAGTCCAAGTCGAAGGTGTGAACTGTGAACAGAATATTGGGAGTTGGGACAAAGTGTGTAGTGTGAACACATGACATTATTCCTTCCCTTCTTACTCTGTTCAAACCTAACCACCCTTCTAACTATAGTTTAGTTTAGCAAACTCTTGAGTGTGAGTGTGAGTGTGAGTGTGAGTGTGAGTGTCAATCTAAAACCTTCAGTTGGGACGACATAGACATTCTCGAAGGTTCCTATTATACTAGACAATTTATTGGTTAGTAATTTCTTCGCTTCAAAAAGAATGATGTACCTTTGTTTTAGATTATTTTAAAAGAATCACCATTTTTCATTTTTGATTATATTTTATTTTAATTTTTCATGTGACGTGTTTAAGATTATAAAAATTAAATAATATTTTGGTGTATTTGATATATCTTTAACTTAGGATCACACGGTTGAAAATTTTTCTTTGTTTTCTAAAATTTTGTATTAAGTCAAATTAAGTCATTCTTTTTTAAAAAAAAGAAAGTGTATATATATATATATATATACCTTTTCTATCTTCCTCCAATGGAGCTAGTTGTTTTTCTTCCGATTTCTCACCACATGGAGCCAAAAGAATTATACCGTATAATAAATAATAATTGAATTATTTTGGATTAAAAAAAAGAAGTCAATTCAATAAATATCTTGCCTTATTTACGCAATAGAAAACATCTAAACAATACCGTGACAAATCTAATGGATGATCCAAATCTAATGTTACGCTATTCAATTTATTTGAATGCAATACTTTCAACATGGAAACATTAATTTATGTGTATAAATTTACCTTTAATTGTTAGTAGATATGAACTTATAACTTTTAAATATAATAGATTGAACTTAAAATTTTTAATTTTTTAACTTATAAATTTTAATTTTTAATCTGTCTCTACCCTACTATGAATTTTAGTACTCCCATCAACAAAAACATCATTTGTACGATTCGAATCCTAATTATATTTTGTTCTCAATGATTTTAACTTTTTGAACATTCATTTAGCCTCTCAAGTCAAACATTAAAGAGAAAAGTTTGGACGAGGAAAAAAGAATATCTTGACAAGTTCAATTCAGTTGTTGTTTTGATATTATGATTCAAAATCTTATATTATATGTTGAAACGTTCCATCTATCACTTAATTACTTATAATTATAGTCAAGTAATGTAATAATCCACCTGCTCTACTTTACTTATAGTTACCTACTAATTTTTTAATTTTTTTTCCGGTTTTAGAGGATGTAATCCATTTATTTTATATACATTAAAAACTGTTTTTTTTATTATAGAGATTGATGATGATCATGTGTACATATTCAACTAACAATAGTTTGTCTTATTTATGGTTTACATAATTATTTTGAAATTTGTTTGAGACAAGAAAGGTCATATTGGTCATTTAAATGAAAAGTTTTGTCTATCTGTAATCCCCAAGGGATAAGGACTACCACTTGCAGTTATGATTAAAATTAATTAAATAAACCAATTGCACTTAATTAAGTATTAACAGAAATTAACATTTAATCTTGCCAGGTGGCACGTGGATGACGATACTAGGGTGACAACATTGAGAAACGTCATCAGTTAACGCCTAAAAGCATGTTGACGCTCTTTGTAGCGCGTTCCAAACCAATGCAATCGCATTCATTCTTTGCTACTACTTTCTTGGAAAATAAATATATCCATTAAAATTAACTATTTTTTGGAATTTGCCAAATGATCCTTTTGTCTTTTTTAATTTTTTTCCTTAAAATTACATATTGGCAATGAAAAATTCATCAAAGAGAAGGGTAATATCCATTACCACGTGACCAACATTTATTGATCTTAATACTTTAGAGTTCGAATAAAACTTTCTTGCTAGTTAAAGTTTTAGATCAATCTTGTAATCTATGAATAGTCTATTTTCTTCGTTTATAAAAATATTTTAATTCCAATCAAATATAAGGAAGTTACCTTTATACTCTTAAACTCCAAGAATCCATTATTCATCAAGTCCCCAACTGACTATGAACCATGGGTGAAGCCACCTTAGGCGAAGGATGGTTCGATGCACACTCTTTGCCTGGATAATTATGTGATGTACAAACAAAGGTTAAATGTTAGTTACTATGCGTGTATATTAAATTTTGCAGATCCTTAATACCAATGAGAAAAAAAATTGCACACTCTTAACCAAAATTCCTGACTCTAAGTCTGAAATCAACACCCCATAGCATCATCGAAGCCCCAATAAAGCTTCACACGATCGACTCTCATTCCCATTTATACACATGTCCTTGATCTCGTATAAATTTAACTTTACCATTTCTTTTGATACTAGTAAAGAAAGCCTGGGCGCTGCCTGGGTCCAATATTAAAAAAGTTATATTGTTACTCTCTCCGTCCCATATTAGATGAGAATCTTACTAAAAATATTTTTTTCATATTATTTGAGCACTTATTAAATTAGGATAGAATTAATTAATTCTTTTCCATTTTACCCCTACATTAATATGACCATTCTTATATTGTATGTGTATTTTTTGCAACTCATTTCAATGTGCATTGGTATAAACAAAGGGCAAAATGGTGAAGTCTTCCAATTTATTAATGATTTCTTAATCACCGTGTAAAGTTGGAAGTGCCCATCTAATATGGGACGGAGGGAGTATAATTTATGTATTGTTATAAAATTAGTAAAGATTGTTATAATATATTTTGCTCATAAGTGAGCTAATATAGAAACTTATTTGTCATTTGTCTTTTTAATTTCAATTTTAAATAGCAAATAAATGTAGCGATAAGATTGAGGGTAGAAATGAAGTATATCTTTCTAAATTTAAGTAAAAATAAACAGAGTAGAAGTAACATTAGGGTTATCGATAGGACGATTCATTCGGTTATTTTTAAAAAAATTATATCATTCAATTTTTGGCTATTTTATAATGTATAACCAAAATTAAAATTTTAAAATCATCCCAATCCTAATTTATGTACCCAATCCTAATTTATGTGAAAGAAGCAGTACAAAAATTAGTCTTTTTTTTGTTGTCTTGTAGATATTTTAAGTTATTATTTATTGTAAATTATAGTACTTTTTATTAAAGTTTGTAATAACATATGTTACTTTTTATGTTTGAGAGTTAAACCAACTTTTTTTTATATGTCTTTTAATTTTATATGTGTTTTGTCCTTTTCCATTTTCAAAAACAAATACTCTCTCCGTCCCATATTAGATAAGAATCTTACTAAAAATTTTTTTTCATATTATTTGAGCACTTATTAAATTAGGATAGAATTAATTAATTCTTTTTCATTTTACCCCTACAATTAATATGACCATTCCTATATTGTATGTGTATTTTTTGTAACTCATTTCAATGTGCATTGATATAAACAAAGGGCAAAATGGTGAAGTCTTCCAATTTATTAATGATTTCTTAATCACCGTGTAAAGTTGGAAGTGCCCATCTAATATGGGACGGAGGGAGTATAGTTTATGTATTGGTATAAAATTAGTAAAGATTGTTATAATATATGTTGCTCATAAGTGAGCTAATATAGAAACTTATTTGTCATTTGTCTTTTTAATTTCAATTCTAAATAGCAAATAAATGTAGCGATAAGATTGATGGTAGAAATGAAGCATATCTTTCTAAATTTAAGTAAAAATAAACAGAGTAGAAGTAACATTAGGGTTATCGATAGGACGATTCATTCGGTTATTTTTAAAAAAATTATATCATTCAATTTTTCGGCTATTTTATAATGTATAACCAAAATTAAAATTTGAAAATCATTCCAATTCTAATTTATGTGACAGAAGCAGTACAAAAATTAGTCTCTTTTTTTTTGTCTTGTAGATATTTTAAGTTATTATTTATTGTAAATTATAGTATTTTTTATTAAGGTTTTTAATAACATATGTTACTTTTTATGTTTGAGAGTTAAACCAACTTTTTTTTATATGTCTTTTAATTTTATATGTGTTTTGTCCTTTTCCATTTTGAAAAATCAATACTCTCTCTATTTTATTTTATATGTCATTTCTTTTTATAAATGTATTGGTTATTCCCTCTTCTTATTGAAACACATGTTGATTTGTGGTGAATACTTATTCTCTCTTCTTATATAGTAATATATATTTATGCAAGTCAAAATTGTTCATGAACCTGATCGATAATTGTCATTATCACTAGAGAGGAAAGCAAAAGATTCGACTAGTGCGCGTGGGGGTCGTTTTTTCCACAAGCTAAGGTAACGGGGAACTTTCCTTGTAAGCTTCCATTAATTTACTAAGAATTCACCACTTCCAACTTTTCTTCCATATATATATATCCCCTCATCTTTCTTAACTTCTTGCTCACTTCTTACTAAACAATTATAAAATACACAAATGGATAACTCATCGACTGATCTAAACAGAGCAATCGAAGGGTTAATTCGTGGTCGAGAATTTACTCGACGACTAAAAGAGATGATCAAGAAACCTCTTGTTGTTGGTGGTGAAGTTGCAAACATTATGGCTGAGGAATTAGTTGCCAAAATTATGGAATCATTTTCTGAGACTCTCTCCGTTATAAACAATTCCGATGTCATCATCACTACGCCGGTTGAGGTCAAGTCGCCGGAAGATTATTCTAGTGGAAGTTGCAAGAGTTCAGATCGAAGAGGATGCTACAAGAGAAGGTGATTGATTAATTTCATTACTTACTAATTTTTCATGGAGGTTATTTTAGTCTTTTTAACGTTGATGGTCACAAGTTTTGATTGGTTCTCTTTTAGTTAATTATTGTGAAGTTTGGTTGGTTGTTGATTGGTTATTGACTATTTTGTCCTTCCACAAATGCTAGAAATATTTCAGGTTGGTTGGTTGGTCCCTATAAAGGATTGGTGATAATTAGATTGATTAAGATTTGTTCATATTGAATTCATGATGAGGGCCGTGGGGTTATCTATTTCTTATATAGTTAATTGTACTACTCATTAAATTACAATAATCATAGAGCTCACGTAAAGTACCATTGCACCATTAGGAGTCCTTTGGTGTGAGACAGGCCTACTTTATCTTGCGCTTGGCTTGGTTTGAGTTATTAGGCAAATCTAAGATTATTTATCCACTATTTATACCTTAGTAATGACATGAGTTATCTCATATACATATGAAATAACTTATCCCAAAATAACTTGTTCCCAATCAAATGCCCTCTTATATAATTAGCTTGTGTTATTTTAGAAACAAATTTCTCATAAATGTTTTGGAAAATATACAGGAAAACTTCAGAATCAAACATAAAGGAATCCTCAGATTTGGTGGATGATGGTCATGCTTGGAGAAAATATGGACAAAAACAGATCCTTAATTCCACTTATCCAAGGTTTGAAATTTTAATAATTACAGAGTAGATGTGATAGATATATAGTTAATCCATATATTTTATATTTGTTTTTATCTATTTATTTATAATAATAATAATAAAATGAATATGTATGCAGGCACTACTTTAGGTGCACACATAAATATGATCAGAAATGTCAAGCAAGCAAACAAGTACAAAAAATCCAAGACAATCCACAACGATTTAGAACAACATACTATGGACATCACACTTGCAAAGCTTTTCCTAGAGTTTCACAAATAATATTGGATTCTCCAATGGATGGAAATTCTAATTATATTAGTTTTGATCAAAATCATACATTTCCATCAATAAAACAGGAAACCAAAGAGGAAGTAGTTTTCGGCTTCTATCCTAAAATTGAAGATCAAATTCAATCATCAAGCTCTGATTATTTTCTTCCCAATGATCATGATCATGATCATGATCATGATCATCTCACTCCGGCAACATTTGAAGCCTCCGGTAGCCGTATGACGTCGCCCGATGTTATGTCATCTGGGGTTTACTCTTCTTGTACTACTACTAGCAATGATAATCTTGAGATAGATATAGATTTTGAGGAGGTTCTTTGGAATTTTGATCAAGTGTAGCTATAGCTTGATAGAGATGGTGTACAAATTTTGTATTATCTTGACTTAGACTTTGCATTAAAGCATTATTAGGTTTTATATGGAAGTATAAATTTGACTTCCACATTTTATTATTCCGCAATAATGGTAAGCCTACTGTAGTTGTTTATTTTTTGTTTTTTTCCCTCTAAAGTTTAAATAGGTATATGTTAAAAAGTCATCGCCAACATAATTGTAATTTTAAGCTATTTCAAAAAAGAATCTAGAAGAATTGGGAGGAAAGCTTTAGAATGAGAATTCTAGTAGTGTAGTTCGAGATAAGGCAAAGAAGAAAAACCTAGAACTTCTAGAATGAAGTAGTTGAGAAATAATTCACTAGATCCTTCTATTATCTACCTATAAATAAAGATTGTTTATTTGAGATGTATGTATACTCAAATGTAAAGTGTGTGCTCAAGAGAAGAATGAATGCTAAAGCAAGCAACAAGTGAGTGATCAAGTGAAAAATAAGAAAGAGCAATAAAGAGAGTTGCTACAGTGTGAGTGCAGTAAAAATTGAGTATAAAATTGTTTGACCAAAATTGGTTAAATCTAAGTTGTGAATAATCAATTGTGCCCAATTCAGCAAGTGCATCAAAGCCTAGTAGCTCAACAAATGTAGCAACTCCAAGGGCGATCCTAGAAGCTACTATTAGAGGCACTAATCAATGGTTGATTTTGCAACGTGGAGCGCAAGAATGAATATTATTTTCTCAGCAATGAATATGGGATATCGTTGGTGGATCAAACACTATACAACCAACATATGTTGAAGCAACAAGAACGTGAAATGTCATAGTTGTAAAGGCCTCCATGCAGTTGTATCACACCCATACACACAAGTGTACGTGATCACACATATTGAAGTGATTGTAAATAATTGAATATACCAATCACACAAGGACTTAGTTGCTAACAAACAATTGATTTGACTATTATAATTAAGTAAACAAGTGTTGCCCAATTCAAGTGAGTTTGGTTGGCTATTTACACTACTAATTATGACTAAAAGAAGACAAGTATATGTAAAACCCTGAACATTTATAAGCTAAGGTCCAAATCATTCTTCATCTATGTGTAAGGTCATATCGGGGGATTCTTAAATTATTCTTAGGTGTTAAGTTCAATTATTTAGTGTGAGAATGAATTTGGATATGAATTAAGGTGACAAGAATGCCCTAGCACAACGTTGAGTTGAAAGCTTTCTTACCGATTAAGTTTTGACATAAGATTCTACTTAGGTGAACTTTAAATGATCATATCTCACAACAGAGAATGAATTAGTGACCCCTTACTTATCAAATTGAAGGTATACAAGTCATCTTTTCAACGCCACAAAATTTACCTCATTTTGAGTTCGGAGTAAAACGTTATGACTGTTTTACCAGAGACAACCACAACAGAGTTTTCTGAGTTAGTTCCTATGAATCCCTTTACAGGACACATAAGTTTCTATGACCCGTACTTCCAACTCATGGAAAAATATTAAAAAGTCAAATTTTGAGGTCCAATTCCTACAGACCCATGTACGAATCGTACAACCTTCTATAGGCCGTAATTTTGACCCATAGAATGAATATTTGAGCCTTAAAATCCAATATGAATTCCACAGATTGAATCTACGGTCTATAGTTTGGACCCGTATAATAAACTTTTGAGCCTTAAAATTCAATGAATTCGATCTATGGTCTGAAGAAATATCCATGGGTCGTAATGAGGCTTAAAATTTAATATGAATTCAACGGATGAGATCTACAATCCGTAGGTCAAACCACGAACCATAGATGGCCCTGTGGAAGGTTTTCAACAATTTTTTAAGAGGGTAGTTCAGTCTTTTTCCACTTCTTCTAAGCATAAACCCCAACGTTCTTACATCTGAATAAGGTTCTAAATAGTATTAATCGACCCTATTGCTCTCATTAATGCTTCAGAGTCTTAGAGAAAGGATCCAAGAGGTGAAAGCTAGGATTTTCAAGCGTTCTTCCAGTTTCGCCAATAATATTATTCTTCTAGGTAGGTAAGGCTAATCATAGTGATGTACTACGTTCGACCTCACGCCCTACATCTAAATTTAGTCAGTAAAAGATTAATCTAGGGTTACAACCTTATTTTCGAGAATTCTTCATATGAGTTATATTATTGATTCTGAGTTCTAAATCCTTGATCAGGAGTTGTTATATATTATACATTGAGATCCTTGAGTTGCTATTCATGTTTGTATTCCACATGAACCCTAATCTCTAAGTTTGATTGAGAGTCTTTTGAACAAACATCTTTTTGTCATAAATAAATTTTGAGAAGTTAAAAGCAAGTTCAAGAGTAAAGTTTGAGTCTAATTTTGAGAAGAGTTTAACGGAACTATATGATTCCCAAATCTATCATTTTTACATAGAGAAATAGTACTATTTTGAGAAAAGTGAAGAGTTTTCAGAAATATTGAGTACAAAGTAGTTACCTCTTAAAGAAGTGTATGAAGAGTTCAAACAACTCACATTCTCTATAAACCACGTAGCTAGCGTGGGATAGGATAGTACGACATTCAGATGACTCCTCACTACCTTTGAGAAGGCCTATTATATGGATCCATGAGTTGAGGATGTTCTATAACCGACAAGGTATACGACAGTTCTGACAACGTGGGGGAGACATTGTATCATCACGAAGCTCATAATGATGGTTATCGGTTAGAGAATCTCCCAAATAGAGTAAACAATATTTCATTATCATAGTTATATATGTACAGTTCATTGATTTATCATATTTCTTTTTAAAACTTTTAAATGATTTTATCTCTAAATATATTTCACATTCAGTTTAGTATCTTGCCTTAGCTTTTTCGGTTCAGTTATTTATTTTTCTCAACTATATTACATACTCGCACATTCAATGTACTTATGTCATTCGACCTGCATCTTTTCATGATGCAGATACATGTGTTTAGGATCATCAACAGGCACTCTATTGCGATCACTTTACAATTCTTGCTAGTTTTGGTAAGCCTTCCATGCATTTAGGAGGACTCCATTTTTGTCTTTCAGTTAGTAGTTTGAGTTGTCGTAGGAGGCTTCATTGATAGTTTGTGTTGAGTTTCTTTTAAATAGTTCCTTTAAACTATTTTGGCAAACTATTATTCTTATAGAGTATTTTTCAAAAAGTTTTGAGTATAGTACTTTGAGATAGTTTGAGTTTTGAGAAGCTTTGAGACTTTTGAATTTAAATTCTATTTTAAATCTTAAATATATTTGAGTTAGTCTTCCTCTAAGTAGTCATCTAGGCCAAAGGTTCACTTGAGAATCAACAATGGTTCTCAAGTGCTAGCCACATCCAGGGTGTTGGCTCGGAGCATGACAAACTTGGTATCATATCATAGAGTTCAAGTATCCTAGGGTGTCTACGAAGCCATGTCTAGTAGAGTCCTTCTTATCAATGTGAAGCATGCCACATGTATAATAAGGAAGCTCCATGATATTAGGAATTATGTCTTTTCCTCCTACTAATGTTTGTGTGATAGAGTTTAACTTTATAAGAGTTTCTTCTAATTCGTGCTTACGCATATCTTTTCAGATTATGCCTCCACAAAGAAATTCTAAAGGGCGTCCTACTGGGAATAATGTGAATCCTTAGGAACCACTAGTTCAAGATGGACCAGAAGGTCCCAATGCACCTGTAGTGCAACCTTCTCATGGTGACGTCACAAATGGTAGATTTAGGAATGCAGTTCAAATGTTGACTCAAGTGATGACAAAACATGTTGGTCGCCAAGGAGCTGACCATAAAGATGTGAATGGTACGTCCAGATTCCAAGAGTTTCTAAGATTGAATCCTTTAGAGTTCACTAGGTCAAAGGTTAGTGGGGATCCATAAAACTTTGTGGAAGAGTTTTCGAAGGTATTTAAGGTTATGCATGTTATTGATACAGAGCAGGTGAAGCTATTTTCTTATTAGCTTAAGTGTGTTGCGATATTTGGTACGATGAGTGGAAGAAAACTAGGGGAGAAGATGCACCACCCTTAGGCTGGACAATATTTGAGAATGCGTTCTTGGTGTGTTTCTTTCCCCAAGAGCTAAGGGAAACAAAAGTTAGGGAGTTCCTCAATCTATAACGGGGGACTATAAGTGTGCAATTATATAGCCTCCAGTTCACTTAGCTATCCAACTATGCTTTGGAGATGGTGGCTAATATGAGGAGCAAGATTAGTTTGTTTGTGTCTGGGCTATCTCATTTATCGATCATGAAAGGTAAGAAAATTATGTTGATATGGAATATGGACATAGCTAGACTTATAATTCATGTGCAACAAGTAGAGGAGGATAAGTTGAAGGAAAGAGAGGAGTTTAGCAATAAGAGGGCCAAGACAACAAATCATGAATCGGGCTAGTAGAAAACTTGGAACGGGAACTGATCATCATTTTAGTAGAGGTAATCTGGAACTGCTCCATTGTCACGACCCAAAGTATAACCTAGGCATAACGTGACATATAGAATCCCAGAAGGACCCACACAATCCAGTTAGCATACATCAAATAAGATAATAGAAATAAAATTTCAAAACAAATAGACTTATATCATAAAATAGTTTGATAAAGCGGAAGTTTCAAAGCAAATATTCATTAGGTGTTGCTTCACATCATCACCAGCTGTACCTCTAAACATACCTTTCAGGTTCAACAGTTGGATCATGGTGCTGGTGATTGTAAACTTAACACCTGGAAGGTAGTGCAGGTAACACTATGGCTCCAGTGGCTCCAGCTCCGTCCAAGTCAGCATCATCTTCTTCATACATCATATGAGATGGATGCTGAGCTCTACACCTTGGGGCTATTGGTTGGTGCTGAGGATGGATTACTCCTTCCACCCCTCTGTTCTCATCTACTACCCTAGGTTGATTGAATCCAGCATTATGCTGGACACCTGGCCTGGGTTACTGGATGCCTGCAGTTTGATGGACATTCCTTGCAGCATCAATCTCAGCTTCTAGTCCCATTTTGTGTCTCTGAGCCTCTAATTCTTGTGCATTAACCATTTTCCGAAGAGTTTTCTAAAATTCAGGGTCGTAAGGAAGCAATGGGCTCCTTTGCTTCTGGTGTTGGG